ATTTCCAAGTGGACAAGAAGTGATCTTCTAACCCAGGCTTTCGCTTCAGACATCTTTAGAACAAAGAGTTTTCAGTGTGATAAGAACAGGGCAGCCTTAATCAAATGTTGGGGGGTGTGAGTGTTATTTGCAAAGCTCAATTTGTAATGGTTGTTTGGTTTTCACTTGCTTCCTTTGAATTGGTGATCTCTGATGGAAAGTTCCACTTCCTGATATCCACCAGTGCTGGTTTCAGAGTTGAGGTTCACCATGTCTATGTTCTGAACACATCTATATGACCTTTCTAAATCAAGGTTGTTTAATTGAGGCCATTCCCATGCTGTTTATGTTGATAGGTGCTCATCTTTTTCTATATCCTTTCTGCAGAGCCGGACTGATTATTACTGCTCTGAAGAGAAGGACTAAAATGTTGCCAAGGTGGGTAGTTAGAGATACGAAAGCAGAATTCTTTACTGGTTCAGGGCACATGGCACTTGGTACGTCTACTTTAGCTTTCAGAGCATGGAAGTAGGGGATAACCGATTTTTTTAAATGATAAAGTTGACAAAGGGAGTGGATCTTTAAGGTCTTCTGGCCGCTTTTTCCTTGACATTTTGTTGTTGCTTAGGAATTTTCTTATTAAGGCTTTAATATGGGGTTAGGAAGACCTGAGTCTAATTCCTGCCTCTGATGCTTATTAGGTGCTATAAACAAGTCATTTAATCTCCCAGAGCCTCAGTTGATGTATCTGCAAAATGAGATGTTCGTTGAATAAGGGACAGTAAGAAGCTAGCAGAATATTCTTCATATCAACATTTTTTGAGCAACTATTGTGTGTAAGGAAAAATATTTAGTATGAAAGCGGTTTCTTGCCCTTGTATAGCTTATGACCTAATTGAAGATATACTTTACAAGCTCTGCTTCTCAGATACAGAATTCCTTAAGTTTTTCAAAGTACTTTTTAATTTCATCACCCCTGTGGCTAACCCAATAATGGATGTCTCTGAACAGTGCTTGGATGACCGTCATACATCATATAGTCCACTACTGGGCTGATACTTGGAGACTTTTCAGCTTGGTTAGGATCTATCAGAACAACAGGAAGAACAGGTGTGTAATAATCATCGAAAGGTATGATGCCTTTTAAACCTTGAAGTTCTCTGTAGTATCCAGTGAGATAAATGAGGAAACTGAGTCTTGCACAAGTGAAGTGACTTGGAGAATCATAGTACTTAGAACTGGAAAAATACCTCTGAGATCCTTTCACATCTTATTTTACGGAAGGGGAACTTAAATTAGTTGTCTGTGAGTCATATAAGCAGTAAGTATTAGGGCCAATGTTTTAACCTAACTCCAAATCCAGACCTTTTTGCACTACTACATTGCTTTGCTTCTCTAGCATGGCTATTGAGGACCCCTTGAAGTGAAGGAGTCTGGGACTTAGACTAGCTTTGAACAAAATGTAGACTTCAGACAAATTGGAAAGGAGGGTGAGGCCATTTTAGGCAGGGGAAACAGTGTCAACAAATGAATGGTGGTGTAAAAGTGCTCAGTTTGCATGGTAGATTTCAGGGGGATGATAAATAGAGAGGTTTGACTGGTATATATAGTTAGCATTTGTATATGTAGGTATATAAATATAAATGGTGATGGGACAGGTGCCAGATTGATCATGAAGGGCCTTGAATGCTAAACCAGGAAATTTGGATTTTATCCTATATATAATGTGGAATCATTAAAATTTTTCATCAGAAGAACAATATTTGCATAGTAACATTTTAGAAAAGTTAACCTGATGTGTGTATATGTATAAATCCACGCTTAATTATAGCCTTCTTTAGAGCTAGGTGGAGTGGGGGAGGGAGGGGAAAAATAAAGTGAAAAGTGAAAAGCAGAGAACAAAAGAAAATGTACAAGGAAGCAAGGAAAAGCTGGGCATCTTTGAAAACATTGTGTAACATTTATTATATAGGTTTTCTTGAAATGGAAATTTATTGTTTTATATTGAATCCTTTTTTATATTCTGCTGTGTACATGGCAGTTTTTTTTTCCTTTTCTTATTGTGTATTTAAGTTGAAAATAAACAAAAAAAATTTTCCAAAAAAAAAAGTTAAGCTGGCATAACCACAGCTAGAGAGATAGAAGGGTCCTTAGAGATCATCTGTTCTAAATTCCATCATTTTACAGATGAGGAAGTGGAGATTCAGAGATCTTAAGTGACTTAGCCAAAGTCACACAGGTGTGCAGACTTATTAGAATGGGGAAACTATGGAA